GTCGCGACCGAGTTACATGACAATCTGCGGCTTTGGATAAAAAGATGATTTCTCCGGCAGATTGAGATGTGTGCGACCATGTGGACTACACTGGGGTATATAGACCGCAAGATGTTTGCTCGGCAGTTGTGCGATGGCATGCAATCTCTTGTGCTGCTACCAAGTTAAGAGGAGAGTGGTCTGCACCAATGGAACTGCGCAGTTCCTCTGCATGACGCAGCAGTCTCAAGTCTGTAGTATAGTATCTCTACGGCGCGTGCCGCCTGCGTTATGGCGGCTGTCTGCCGCGGCTTCTCTGCCGCCCTGCCCTGCTTCTTCTCTGCCGCGCATCCTGGGCGGCCGGCGCAGAGCAACCACAGAAAAGAGAACAAGTGCGTCTTCTGCAATGATGCCTGGATGGCTCAGACTTGCCTCACCGTTGGGGGGCGTCGCAGCATCACGCGCTCCTTGAAGGCTTTCCGGCAGGCATACCAAGAGCGCCCCTACATCTACAACGTGGCCATGATGCGGGTCCCGGACGAGCGGCGCGAGAGCTTCCACGCAGCGGCGCTGGAGGAGCGGCGCCGGCCAGCCAACAAGCCTCGCGGTGCCCCTGCGAGCTCTCAGGCCACTGCAGTAAAGGAGGAATGGCAGCAATGCCTCACCAATCGCAAGCGTGCTTTCAAGAAGCTGCGGAGTAAGGAGGTTACGGCGTACAAGAAGCGGCGCACAGCAGACCGCAACCGGGTGGTCAAGAAGTTCTTCCTGGACAACGACCTCTCGGCGCCCGAAGAGCTCGCCGACGTGGCCCCCAACGACTCGGGCACGCCGGCCCCTGCAGTTTCGGAACGGGCCAGGTTCGTGGAGCTCTGGTGCAAGCTAGGATGCTGGGGCATCTGCGAGGATTGCCGCTCGCTGCAGCCGCGGCCTTTGGAGCCGATTGACACACGGCGCGTGGCCAAGGCTGAAATCAGGCCAAGACCTGCAAGCAGTGCCACGGCAGACACTGGGTGCCCCAGCCCAACGATGTCCCAGAGCCCCTGAAAAAGCTAAGCCAGAAGCTTGTGGAGGTTCTGC